TCGACAGGCTGCCCCAACTAATGATTGCCGTTGTATATTCATATCACCATTGGAATTAACTGATGAAGTCTGAAACTAATAAATATTTTTGAAAAAATGGATCTTATATTCTAGATCATTTTGTCAAATTTTGGGCTTCTGAGATTGTCTTGCGTCACTACCTCAAAATAGATTGCTTTCAATAGTCATACATAAAAACAGGAATTGCAAAGAGGAAGAAAAAGTATAGCATGCATGACAATGGAAAAGAACAGTATTTAAACAGTTGACTTAAAAAATGAGACAAAAATTATGCTTTGGAGTATCAAAGACTTTTAAATCTGTGACCCAAGTTATATGGTCCAGCTATTCTCATAAGAAAACTGTCAGCACATATATTGAAGGCTTAGAAAGAAATTCTAAACACACAAATCGAAGGCCTCTATCATGTTATTAATCTTATAATAACTTTTAGATTAAAATCAATGTGTTCTTGCTTTATTGGCTACCTCTTAATTACTTTCTTTAAAAAAGGTCTTGCAAAAGTTTATAAATCTCTCTTTTTATTTGTGCAAGATGATCCACTTTTTCCTTAGTTTGGTTTTACGTTGGCCCGAACTCTCCACTTGTAATTTATTATTTGACAGTGAATTCTTCCTTGTCCAGGGTTTTTCACATAAAATTTGTGTTCTTTCTTTTGTTTATTTTATTATTTGTTGTATCGGATTAATAATAAAGTCAATTAGAAACTTAGAATAAAAACTAACAAGCAAAAACTTCTCCTTCATACTTCACTAGGAGAAAATGATGGTCGCATTCTGCGGACACTAGAGGAGCAAAAAATATACCATCTACACTATACGCTAAGAAAACACAGCCGATCAACTAATCCTACATTTTAGTATTGAACAACTAATCAATCATTCAGAAACAAAAATAATCATATTGAATGAGAGCCAATGAAGTTAAAAAAAAAGGTTATGACGCGGGGCTTTCGAAGGTAGACCCGGGAGTGGGAAGACCGGCCGAACCGGTTTGCTGAATGGTCAGTTAAACCGGCTTGGTAGATCCCGGTCCAGTCCCTATTTGACCGACCGGCTTCAGGGAATGAAGATACCATGTCTGCTCTCTCCCTTGCGTCTATTTATCGCCATCTCTCCTTGCTTATTTATTGCCGCCCAAAGGGAAACCTTCCCTTCCTATTTTATCTATTAGTGATTATATATGTGTTATTTTTGCTTGTTAGGATTATATTTTGTGTGATTGTTGTTTTTGGATTTCTCTTTGGAGTCTTCTTCTCCCTTGCTAGGGTTTTATTCGACGACGTGTGGTGCTTCGACTATATCCTGCTCCGAAGTGGTGTTGTATCCTCTCCTATCATCTTCCCTAACCCCTCTCCTCCACTTCACATAGTCGCCGGCCTCCTCACCTCATCCCAACTATTCTGTCGCCCCTTCCTCGTACCGCAGCCCTGCTGTCCAGACCTCCAATCCGGAACCCCCCCCCCCCCCCCCCCACCCCCACCCCCACCCCCCCCCCCCTTTATTGTTGGCCTTGTTGTCCAGCCCTCCCAGCTGCACACCTGCATCCAACCAGCCCCCTTACAGCAGTTCTCCTTGTTGTCCGGCTCATCCCACCATCACACAGCACCCTTCGCCACCCTTACTTGCAGCTTTGCCCACCGCCCCACTCTACCAAACCCCCAAACCAGCCACCACCACCCTTCCAACATACCCAACAGCCCTCAACCCTTCCCATTTTCCCTTGCCACTTTGCTGACACCACCAGTGTCCTTGGATCTTCTCTTCGGGTCCTAGTCGGACAATGGCTTGTTGTTGTATTTCCCCTTTCCATTTATGTCAATAAAATTTTACTTTCGTTTTCACCGATTTCCTTACTAGTTTCGGTATCATTTGGTATTAGAGCTAGCCCAACCCTAGTCCTATCCTTGGGTTTTCTAGCATCCAGCATAAACTAAAATATTTCTTTCCTACGTCAAATACCCTTTCTACTTCCACAAATCCCAAACCCTAATCATGCCACCAAGAAGATACATGTCCAAACCCACCTAGGAAGAGATAATGCGAGAGCTTCGTCGCCTTCAACAGAGGCTTGCGGAGATTGATGAATGACCAAGCGGGAGGTTACCCTCGACCGAAATCTGGAAAGGTGAAGGGGAGATAGAGAGGATGATATGAATCCCTTCCATAGGGAGAATTTAAGGGATGAAGAAGACATACCACAACATTTCGGAATCCAGTATTAGAGGAAAACTAGAGAAGGGTATCTAAATCCCTTCCATAGGGAGAATTTTAGAGAGGAGATATCATTTGAAGGGCACAGATACTTCTGCATCAAAGTTGATCTACCAAATTTTGAGGGCGGTATGAATCCAAAAGTTTTTATTGATTGGTTGCAATCTGTTGAGCGGATCTTCGAGTATAAAAATGTGCCAGAGGACAAGAAGGTCAAATTAGTTGTTATCAATTTGAAGAAAGTGCCTCTTTGAAGTGGGAGAACTTATGAAGACAGAGAAAAAGAGAAGGCAGTGATAAAATTACCAGGTGGGAGAAGATGAAGAAAGTGATGCAGAGGAAATACCGTCCACCCCATTATGGCCAGAATATTTTTCTGAGGATCCACCACTTGCAACAGCGAGATCTGTCACTAGAGAAGTTCACGGAGCAGTTTGATCAATTGTGGATGAGATGAAATCTGATCGAGCCAGAGAAACACACCAAATCCCGTTATCTGTAGGGTAAAGGCAGCTATCAGCAATGTGGTGCAGCTGAAGCCTTATTCATCACTTGGAGGTGTTCAGACTCTAGCCTAGAAGGTGAAAATACAATATAAACAAAGCAGGCAGCAGCCTTTAGTCAAGCAACCACCTACAGCTACCACAATGGACAATGGTATCTCAGGAGGAACTAGCAAGCCCCGATAAGTGACAAGCGGATCAGAGTGAGAAGAAACAAGAGAAAGGTAGTTCCTCCAATACAATACCAGCTAGAAAGTGTTTCAGGTGTCACGGCTAAGGCCACGTAGCCTCCAGCTATCCCATGAGCCGAGTAATCACTCTCAGAGTCAGGGTGTCGTGGAAGAACTTAGCAATGATGAGACATCTGAGGACCAGGGTGAGGTGTATCATCTTCCACTAGATGAAGGAGAAGCACTCGTATTTAGACAGTTCTTACAGACCGATATTGATATGAGGGATTTGTAGTGGCTTCGTCACAATATAATTTACACCTGGCGCATCATAAAATGAAAGGTATGTAATCTCATCGTCAATGGAGGGAGAAGTAAAATGTAGCATCTACACAGTTGGTTGAGAAATTGGGTCTCATGACTCTGAGATATTCTCAATTGTATTCACTGACATGGCTGAAGAAAGAGAATCAGATCAGCATCGGCTGGAGATGCTTAGTAGAGTTTTTGATTAGGGGATAGATGTTGGACCTAGTACGGGGTTGGTGTTGGTGTTGGTGGTACGGTGTCGATCGTGATATCAATAGCAGACTGCAAAGTACTTTGGGAGCATTCGGCAATGAAGGTGAGACATACAGACTCATTTCAGTTCAGAAGCAGACTCCCCAAAGATCGGTCTGAAGTGGATGTTTGCCAGTAAATTGGAAAAGACTCACAGGTGCCTCGGAGGACGTTGCAGTCGCCAGTGGGATCTAGGTGCTGCTAAGATTATAGACAAAGAATCAGAAGCTTCGATGAATAAAGTTGAACTCCTCCAACCTAGGGAGACTGACACGGGGCTTGGAGAGGTGAGACGTGGGAGTGGGAAGACTAGTCGAACCGGCTTGTTGAATGGCCATTTAAACTTTCCAAGTAGACTCGGTCTAGACCATGCTAGACTGACCTCCTTTAGGGAACAAAGACACCATGCCTGCTCTCTCCCTTGCTTCTGTCTGTCGCAGTCTCTCCTTTTTGGTTGCCGCCCAAAGGGGAAACTTTCCCTTCCTATTTTATCTATTAGTATTTATATGTTTTTGCTTGTTAGGGTTATGCTTTGTGTGATTGTTGTTTTCAGATTTCTCTTTGAAGTATTCTTCTCCCTTGTTAGGGTTGTATCCGAAGACGGGTATTGCTTTGGTTGTATTCTGCTCTGAGGTGGTGTTATATCCACTCCTATAATCTTCCCTAACCATTCTCCTACACTTCCCATAGCCGCTGACCTCCCCACCTCATCCCAACTGCTCTGCCGCCTCTTCCTCATACTGCAACCTTGTTGTCCAGACCTCCAAATCCACCTCCCAGCACCCTATTACCCTCTAACCTGCTGCTGGCCTTGCTTTCCAGCCCTCCCAGCAGCTCAACTGCATCCAGCCAGCAACTTCAAAACAGTTCTCCTTGTTGTCTGGCTCATCCCACAATCGCCCAGCACCCTTCCCCGCAGCTTTCCCTGCCGCCCAACTCTCCCAAACCCCCAAAGCAGCCAACATCACCCTTCCAACATAACCGACAGCCCTCAACCATTCTCCTTTTCCCTTGCCACTTTGTCGACGCCACCACTGCCCTTGATCTTTTCTTCGGGTCCTAGTCGGAGATTGGTTTGTTGTTGTATTTCCCCTTTCTGTTTGTGTCGTGTTGTAACCCTCATATAGTGCTAATAAAAATTTGCTTTTGTTTCCACTTATTTCCTAACTAGTTCCGGTAACATCTTGTGATTTATCATACACCTTTTGCCAAAATCAGGGGGTCAGTCACAGCTGAAGATTCACATGGTTCAACAACAGGAGGAAATCTAGGAGCTTTTCAAAAAAAATTAAAATCATCATTATACCATCAGACAACATGAACCTCACAGCACAGTTTTGTGACTATAAAAGCTATAGTATGCCAAGCGGCATTTCTGGTTTCACATGTCACTATGCTCATTCTCTTGAAACCATATGAACAAGTATCACTTCATTCTCTGCATATATTCTTGTGTCATAAATTGGTTTAAGATTTTCTAAAATGCAGCTAAATCACAACATTAGAAAATTTATATAATTAAGGTTTGCCTATAATATTAAATATCTCAACAGAACAGCATAATGATATGCATACAAAAAGGAAATGATGTAATTCAAGCTCGACAAAATCAACGACAACAATCAGATAAAAAAACATGCAAGCTACTAAGCCTGAACGAACCTCCAACATAGAATTGATCACATATCTGCCTTAGCGAATAATGATCCCCAGTTCCAGTATCACAGTTGTCCCCAAATATGAGATGCTGAAAGCCAAACTTTAGTGCTTGCTTCAGTCTATCCAGTTAAGCAAAATGATAAAAGTTACAAAGTTTGAATTCTCAAGCAAATGCCAATTATAAGAACTTCCTAGCGCTCCAATTAAAAAAATACTTATAGGCCATAAATTTTCAAATAACAATGGTCGACTGAATAGTTAAAAGACAATGCAAATCCAACCTGAATTTTAAGATGTTTAATTCAACAAGTTTTAAGCAAATTCACATATTTGAAAAATTATTTAGCAAGTATACCTTTTCAAATGATTTTGGTGATCATCAAAGAAAATAAGAACCTGCTTGATATCAAAATTTCCATGCTTCTCCAAAACATTTCCCCAGTCAATACTCCCAAAATCCACAAATTCATTCCCAGCAAAATATGTGCTGTTTTTATCAACGTAAGCAGGGCCCTCCATCAGATAACTTTCTGGATGGCGCGGTGAAAGAGATATGATCGGAGTTTCTGGCATTGCCCGGCGTAGAACCCAAGTGGAATGCCCGTTGAAAGCACCACTCTCAATCATTAATACCGGTTTTAGCCACCGTGCCATGAACCAAAGACCAAAGCTGTGATCAAATCCCATTCCATGTGTGTTGTTTTTTATAGGCCGAGTGTCATAGATTGGCACAAACTCTTCTAATCCCTTAATCAAATCCATGGGACCCCATTCCACTGTTCTACCATCTTTCGATCTACCTTTTTGAAAATAACAAGAATTATAGAAAGTAGTTTACGATGTTTAAATACATCACTAAGAACTAAAATACCATGAACGAAAATGCAAGCCATTAAATTACACAGAAGCTATAGTAAAACATCAGATACTCAGATTAAGCAAGCAATAAACCAACTTAAAATACAGCAGAGAACTACAATCAAACGCAAAGGCTAGTGCACAAAGCTCAAGATATCCCCTAATCTTGGTTAGAAATATTTTTTATTCTTACTTCTGTTGATTTTCCTTCGTGTTATATATTGTTTAAATGAATTTCACATCAAACGAAAACGCATTCAAATATGTTTTTTTTTTTTACTTCCCAGAATGTAAAAAAAAAATTAGGCCTAATCGAACAAAACAGAAAGAAAAGAAAAAAAAAGTTTGAATGTAAAAACAAAAAGCAGAAAACATGTCTATAGTCTGGGTAAGAAAAAATTAGGCCGCTTTTAAAAATCATTTAAAACACAATTAGGGGGATGTTTGGTTGCACAAGTCAGCAAGCAACAAGCTTCTAGTCAATCGAACGGTAGCAAACGATCAACCGCAGGAGTCAATCCCAACAAACAATCTATTACAGGAAGAGCAAATACGGATAACATGAAAGTCTTGTTAGGGGCAGTGAACAAAAAATTACAGTTATTTCAACAAAGCATCAACCGTCACTCGTCATACACAACTATTGAATATTTAACAAAACTTAGCAGAATTACGAACATTTCCAATGAAGCTATAACTGCGGTCTATGAAATATTAAAGGATAAAATGCTAACAAAGTTTTTCTGATGACTACGAATGGGTCATTGCTACATGATTGTATTGAATTTTTTATTAGGTCTCATCCTGGCTTGTGCACATACTTAGCTTGTATTTGATAAATTCCTTCATTGTGTTGTGTTTGTTTGTATTATCACATTATTTATTTTATCTTTCGGACAGCCTTTGTTATGCCTTTATCTATGTACATCATGTTTCTTTTCAAGAAGAAATTACATGATCACACAGTAATATCATGTTACTTGCTCTTTATTATATCGCATACAATGGCCCAATCGAAGCTTGATACTTGTGTATCTTTTAGCGTTATAATACTTGTCATGCAGAATACAACTTTTTTATATCCATATGGATGCTCTCTTAGTTGATTAAATGGGTGGCATGGAAACTCTATGAGTTTTTTGAAAAACCAATGTATTTCAAGTTTCTAATTATTGCCTAAATAATTGAAGTCCTTAAAAATTCATGGACAACCATTTAGATACTCGATCAAGCTTTTATGTTTTTTTTCAAAAATCATATCTTCACCGAATGTGGTAGACTAATAGCAGAATATCTTCATGACTAAAAGCCATTCCTTCCACTCGAAGGACAATGTCCATGGTACAAATTATCTAGAGAAACATGCCTCTATAGATAAGACATTAGTTGAAAGGGGCGTTTACATAACATACCACTCAATTCTTATGTATTTACATGTTGCCACCTAATTTTTTCTTCTCACATTTAGGTGGCAACATGTAAATACATTTTTGAGTGGTATGTTATGTAAATAAATTTGATTTCATATCATATCAAATATTTCATTTCATATCAAAAATATCCCCATTTAACTTTTAAAAAGTGAAATATATCTTCTCATACATAAGGTGGTATGTAAAACCTAAACTTTAGGTAGATATGTAAATAAATTTGAACTGAGTGGTGTGTATGTAAATCTACCAATTTTAAATGGGTTATTACCACATTTTTTACTCCATCTGTAAAACCATTACTAGAGACTACGGGAGAGCAAGGATTATTCTCTGATAAAATTATAAAAGCAATAAGAGCATGGAAAATTAATTGTGAAGAAACCATTCTAACATTCAATGGAAATCATATCCATTTGCAACTAAAGGGACATGATTGCATGACCTATAGAGAGATCATGAGGTTAATGAATATGATGAAGAAAGTTAGTATTCTGACATGATGCACCTTCAAATGGAAGAGAAGTAAAGCTGTTTTTACAGTTAGCGATGCGGGTGCTTACAGGAATGCGGCACTACAATTGCTACGATACCACGCCCCCCCCCGCATTCCTATTTCTCTTCATTTCCCGTTTCTATTCTTTTCCCTCTCTATGCCTTCCTATTCCACCTCTTTCCTTTCTTATTACCTTTTATTTTTATTTACTATCATCTATTATATATTGATGTTGATTGCTTGCTTAAGATTGGCTTTTGATCGATTCCAGATTTAAGATCTCTATCAAGACAATCGCTAGCATCTAGTTTCCCCTCAAGGGTTGTATCCGAGGAATTGGTGGTGCTCCCACTATATCTCTCTCCCGAGGTGGTGATTATCTTACTCATATTCCCTTCCGCATCCTCCCACATCGCTCCCTGTCGTCGTACCTCTCTACAGACGCCCGCAACAGCACTAGGTTTGTTGTTTTTGCAGTCTTCAGCCTATCAGCCACCTTCCCCTCTCTTCCAACATTGCTACCGCCCAAACTGCATTTCCTTCCTGCTGCCTCAGCCCTCCCACCATGCCGCTGCCGCCCAGGACAGCCAAGGAACACCTCGTTCTTGTTAGCCAGTGGCTATCTATCCCAACTCCTCGCTGCTATCACCCAGAAGAGCATCCACACTTGTTGTCCCTGCATTTCTGCACCTCCCCCTTGTTGCCACCATCATTCATTTGTTGTCGCCACCCCCGTCAGCGATCCCGATCGACCTAGCCAACCTCCTCCACCCTTGGGATACACTTTAGTGGTGTTTGCATGTGTTGTGTTATTGTATTTCTCCTTTCAAGTGTGTTGGCTGTAATCATTTACATGCTTCAAGTAATAATATTCATTGTCCTATTATGAATTGAGTTAACTCCAGTATCATTTGGCATCAGAGCTAGTCTGACTCTAGTCCTAACCCTAATATCTGCCCTACCTCTCACCAAAATTTTTCTTTCCTATTCCAAAAACATAGCCAAAACTTTGACCTACTCATAATTTCCCCTTGTTGATTTTGAATATCAGTAACCTTAAACATTTTTGTCGTCCTCTTTCACCTACCACTCCAAAACCCTAAACATGCCACCAAAGAAAAACATGTCCGAGCCTACCTAAGAAGAGATACTTCAGCGGAGGCTTGCAGATATTGAGGATGAAACCTAAGGAGAGATGCTCATTACCATCGACCGAGATCTGGAGAATCAAAGAGGAGCAAGTAACAAGGATATGAATCCCTTCCTAGGGAGGACATTAGCGATGCACAAGACCGTTCATGACACTTTGGAATCCAGTATTAGAGGAGAACGAGAGAAGAGCCAGCACAAGAGAATGGGAGAATCTAATAATGAAGAGGAAGATCCCGTGACAGTTTCTATCAACTTACTATAGACAGAAGAATCAGACTCTAGCTTCAAAAGTGGAGACACCACATCTTACAGACAGAGCTCAACCTTAGGGTCTTACAATCAGATTACACTCTGGAGAACATCCAAGCTAACACTGTCAAAGGGAAAGCTGGGTCAGAGTGGTGAACAAGTGGAACCAATCCGCATCCCTAAATTCGTCACGGCCAATAAGTGTTTTAGGTGCTACGGATTTGGGCATAGTGAATCAGATTGCACAACCGGGAGAGTAATCGCTTTCACTGATCAGGGAGAAGTTGAAGAAATAAACGATGATTCGGAAAAAAGAGGGAGACTTTAAAGAGGATTCTCAATTTTCAGCTAACAAGGAAGAGACGTCATTGATTTCAGTTGACCCGAAGACAGAGATTCCATCTGAGGCAACAATAGTTGTCCTAGAAGGTAGTGATTGTGATGTAATGGGCATAAGCGTTGAGAGGAGTATTAGCACAACTAACCTTGGATGTCCAAAAGGGTCGCGAGTTTAAGAAACCGCTATTAGACAGAGGACAACCCAAATAAGAGAAATTCAAACCATTTAGATTTATAGACTCGTTCTAGAGTTGTCTCTACTGAATAAGGTCTAACACGTTGGAAATGAGGCCCTTTTGTGCCACGTCGGGAAGATTACATGGAGATATTCAAATGTTAAATTCAGTTTGTTATGGTACCCATCATTAAATGTCCAAAAAAGAGGAATGAACCCCATCCTTGAAATTTGTCTTAAGAGCTTGATGAGGAAGGAAATTCTTCAATGAGATCCAGGTCCTATCAGTGAAGAAGATGTCTCTCCTAAGTAGTTGCTAGTGAGAGTAGCACAGCCTACTACAAATTTTATCTCAGAGTTGATTATTCCTCACATACTTCTTTATCAGTTATAATCTGCTGAATAGGAGAAGTGGAAGAAGCAGGTTTCAGACTTAAGGGCTCGAGAATTATATTGTGAAAACCTACATCTATATGTTTCTCTAGCTCAGGATATACCAAAAAAAAAAAGATGCATATTTATTCTATCAAAATGTGTTGTAAAATGACAACACCTACAAAATCGATCTATCAGGAAACTACAATGTTTCCACTACGTTCAACGTCGCAGACCTGACTTCGTACTACAAGGACCCCGAAGCTTCGAAAAATAAAATTGAAACTCCCCCAACCCCAAGAGATAGATGTGAAAGCTTACCAAGAGATGGTACTATATCTGTTACAATACTGCAGACGCCCAAAGGGAGAGGGTCCTCCCTTTTCAAATCTGTCGCTTTCATTCCATTCCTATTTCTCTTCCTTCAATATTTCTACTCCCTTCCCTTTCTATGTCTTCTTATTTCACCCATTTTCTTTCCCATTACTTTCTATTTCTATCTATTATCATCTATTATATATTGATGTTGATTGCTTGCTAAGGGTTGGCTTTTGATTACTTTCAGATTTCAAATTTCTATCAGAGCAGTCGTCAGCATCCATTTTCCCCTTACTGCACCTCCTTCTTGTTATCCTAGACCTCCCGCCGTGTCGCTGCCGACCCAGGACAACCAAGGAACACCTCCTTCCTATTCTCCTGCCGCTATCCACCACAACTCCT